TCACTGTGAGGGGGCACCGGGGCCGTCACCGTCACCACTCGGGGGGCACCGGGGCCGTCACCATGAGGGGGCACCGGGGCCGTCACCGTCACTGTGAGGGGGCACCGGGGCCGTCACCGTCACCACTCGGGGGGTGCCGGGACCGTCACCGTGCGGGGCACCGGGGCTGTCACCGCTCGGGGGGCGCCGGGGCCGTCACCGTCACCGCTCGGGGGGTGCCGGGACCGTCACCGTGCGGGGCACCGGGGCTGTCACTGCTCGGGGGGCGCCGGGGCCGTCACCGTCACCGCTTGGGGGGCACTGGGGCCGTCACCGTCACTGCTCGGGGGGTGCTGGGACCGTCACGGTGAGGGGGGCACCGGGGCCGTCACCGTCACCGCTCGGGCGCTGACGGGCGCCGCGCTCCCCCCGCGGCCGCGGCGCCAGTGCAAGGGTCACGGCCCGGCAAGAACGTGCAGCTGACGGAGAACGAGATCCGCGGGCTGTGCCTCAAGTCGCGGGAGATCTTCCTGAGCCAGCCCATCCTGCTGGAGCTCGAGGCGCCCCTCAAGATCTGCGGTGAGCGCCGGGGCGGCGGGGCACGGCGCCGTGCGGCGGGCACCGCTCACCCGCCGCACGGCGCTCCGCAGGGGACATCCACGGGCAGTACTACGACCTGCTGCGGCTCTTCGAGTACGGCGGCTTCCCCCCGGAGAGCAACTACCTGTTCCTGGGGGACTACGTGGACCGGGGCAAGCAGTCGCTGGAGACCATCTGCCTGCTGCTCGCCTACAAGATCAAGTACCCCGAGAACTTCTTCCTGCTGCGCGGCAACCACGAGTGCGCCAGCATCAACCGCATCTACGGCTTCTACGATGAGTGTGAGTGCCCGGCGCGGCGCCCCGCTGCGCGCCCGCCGCGCCCCGCGCTCACCGCCCCGCGCCCCGCAGGCAAGCGGCGATACAACATCAAGCTCTGGAAGACCTTCACCGACTGCTTCAACTGCCTGCCCATCGCTGCCATCGTGGACGAGAAGATCTTCTGCTGCCACGGAGGTGGGCACGGCGCGCGGGGCTGCGGCGGCGGGGACGAGGCCTCGCGGGGCGCTCCTCTTTGGGGGTGCCTCATGCTGCCCGCCGTGGCCTGCAGGGCTCTCCCCGGACCTGCAGTCCATGGAGCAGATCCGGCGCATCATGCGCCCCACGGACGTGCCCGACCAGGGCCTGCTCTGCGACCTGCTCTGGTCCGACCCCGACAAGGACGTGCAGGGCTGGGGCGAGAACGACCGCGGCGTCTCCTTCACCTTCGGCGCCGAGGTGGTGGCCAAGTTCCTGCACAAGCACGACCTGGACCTCATCTGCAGGGCGCACCAGGTAGCGCGATGGACCCCGCCGGCGGGGCGGCCTTGGCGCTCGGGACGGGTCCCCGGGGGGGTCCTGGCCGCGGGGCTGAGGGCCGCGGTGCCGCGCGCAGGTGGTGGAGGACGGCTACGAGTTCTTCGCCAAGCGCCAGCTCGTGACGCTCTTCTCGGCGCCCAACTACTGCGGCGAGTTCGACAACGCCGGTGCCATGATGAGCGTGGACGAGACCCTCATGTGCTCCTTCCAGGTGGGCCGGGGGGCGCCCCGCGGCCGGGGGGGTGTTGGGCGCGGGGGCCGGGCGCGCTCCAGCCCCACGCCCGCCCCTCTCCCCAGATCCTGAAGCCGGCCGACAAGAACAAGGGCAAGTACGGGCAGTTCAGCGGGCTGCACCCCGCCGGCCGCCCCGTCACCCCGCCGCGCAACTCCGCCAAGGGCAAGAAGTGAAGGGGGAGCCGCGAGGCCGCCGCGGCCCCGGCCCCCCCGCCAACATCAGGTTGCTCTTCTTTTGGAATCGTCTTTTTTTTTTTTTTCCCCTCCTTTTTTAATCTGTAAACATCCTCCTCTCCCCCGCCACCCGCCGCCGCCGCACTCCACAGTACCAAAACGGCCCCGTCCCGGGGACGCGCGCTGGGGACGACCGTCCCCGAGGTGGCAGTGGAGGTGGGGGGCAGAGGGGCGTTTTTGGGGGAATAAACTTGTAACGGGTCGCGGGGGGGTGCCTGTGTGTGCTCCTCCCGGCGGGGCCCAGGCGTCCGGCGGGGCACGGAGGGGATGCGGCGCCGCGGCGCTCAGCACTCGCCGTCGCTGTCCTCGGCCAGCACCTCCTGCGTGGGCGCCGCGCGCCGCTCCCCCGGCGTCAGCACCGAGCCGAAGAACAGCGAGCGGAACTGGGGGGGACCGTGGCGGGGTCTCAGCACGGGGCTCTTCCCGGCCCCCTGACCCCCCTGCGCCCATCCCGGACCTTCTTGTGAGGGGGCGTCCCTGGCACGGCCTCCTCCTCCTCCTCCTCCTCGCCGGGGGCCGGGCCCGGCGGGAACGTGGGGCTCGGCGGGGCGCCCGAGCCGCCCTCGCTCGCGCCYGTCTCCACGGCCAGCATGTAGGACTCGAGGTCGTCGGCGAAGTCGTCCGGAGGGGCGGGCGGCGTGGAGGCGCTGCGGGGCAGGGGGGCACGGGGAAAACGGTTCACTCTGGTCCCTACTGACGGCGGGTGAGGCCTCCATGGTGGAGGCCGGCTTACCCGTTGTCCGGCGGGGAGCGGGAGCCACTGTCGGGGTCCGAGAGGGTGGCCAGGACCAGGTGCACTTGGAGCAGGGGCTCGTCCAGCGTGAACACGGCGGGCCTGGCGGCGGGGCGCCCGTGAGGCCCAGCCCCACGGCGGGCGCGCGTGGTTGGGGGGCGGCCGTGGGGCGGCTCTCACCTGCCCGGCGCGTCGTAGTGGATGGTGAGGGGCAGGTTGGAGGCCTCGGCGAAGGTGAGCAGCCCCTGTGGGGCACGCATTGGGGCGGGGGGGTCAGATAAAGCGGGATCCTCCCGGGACGCCGGGAAGGGGGGCGCACCCGGAACTCCTTGAGGCAGAAGGTGACGCAGGCGCCCGGCGCCGCCGCCACGTCCTGGAACTCGTCCTCCGCCAGCCACAGCTCGGTCACCATGGTCCTGCCGGGCCCTGGGGGG